CGCCCAACCGAGACTTGATCAGGGCTCTGATAGATTGCCTGAATAGTTTGAATTCCAGCTTGCTCAGAGATTTAAAACAGACAGCTCACACCATGTCATTCTTAAGCAAATTGTAATATCGTGTCTTTAGAGAGCTTTGTTTGAAGTTAATTGATGCAACTCTGCTTAACCTGGTTTAATTGCTCTTTGAGCTTGTATGCAATGGTTTAAACATGCTGTTTTGGTGTGGTTTGGGATTCAGATTACCTGGATAACAGTTCTACCTGCGTATCTCAGGCATCATGTGATGGATTCTATTACTAGTTAACACTTTTGGTTTTACCTGGGGAAGGTTTACATTGCCCTTTAATGCTTATGCCAAAGTGACACCATCACAGCTATGGGATGGAAACCTTTCGGGCTGTTACGATAAGGAATGCATCGCTGATAACACTTTGGCTAAATTAACTGGCTGTTTTATGTAATACATTGCTTTTACATCTTCATCAATTTCGGAGCCTCTAAGAACTTTTCCGGTGGAGTTTCAGTTCTTTAATTAATTTGTGCCTACTCATAACAGGCTTGTGCTCCTGTTCTGTTTCATGGTTCCCTTAGTAGTCTACAAAGCCTGGCATCTTTGCCCATAAACTTGTATTTTATGCATTAGAATCACTCCTCTCTTGTTTGGACAGGAGGTAGGAACAAAATGAGCTCAACTGAAGTCCTTCTCAGAAAGTGAAAAAATATTCAACTGCTTCCAAGCACAAGACAAGGTAAAGTTACAAAGTGTTTTTTACACAAAATCTACTGGTTCTGGCAAACAATTTATCTCAAGTGACTGTTTTTCAGATATTTAAATAATGAGCCTTTTATATTTTACCCAAGAGATTTCATATGTTGGACCTTTTAAGATTTTAAAAGATCAAGTTCTGTAAGACTCAATTAATTGTAAGAGAAGGCAGTCTACACATCAATAAAATAAAACATTTTGTCATAGCTTCTTTTAGGGATTTTACTGTAAGTAAAAAATTTATCCCTTTACTGTAAGAATAATGTTATCTTTTCCTCTTCAATGAAGTTCATAAGACAAAAGTAAGTCTGTATAAAAATTTAAGTAGCAGAGGATAAGTGATTTCTAATATTTCATGCCATAAAAATTATCCTCTCAAAAATCATTAAATATTAAAAGGAATGTTCCGAGTCAAATTTCCTTGTACAACAGTATCCCCGCCTATATTTGTAAAACCAGCATATATCTTTGATTATAAACACAAAATCTCCTTAAACCAGAGTTCACCTGAATTCGTTATCATTCACATTCATGAAACTGGACCTAACAGTCAATTGGCAAGAGTGAATAGTGAGGTACACATTAGTCTTGCAAACATGTTTCTTTGAAGGATTCATCTTGATTTACATGATTTACTGATATTGTTTGTATGGGATACGAAGTTCAGCAGATGAAGTGGCCAACACCAAGCCTAGTTTCACACCAGCTGAATTCAATCTAAGAGTGAACTCGGCTGTTAAAAGAGATAATTCAGAAGGAAGAGGCGGGAGGTTCCTCCGGCATGCTGGCTATAGCAGCATGCTGGACTCATACTGAGCAGGTGAAGGCTTGTGATTGCAGGAATCCCATAGTGTGACACAAGAAAGTGTAGATCTCAGTGCCAGATTGTTTTCCCTATAAGCCCAGTGCAGATGCTGTGGGGTTTTGGACCAGATCAGTTCACAGAACAGATTCATTCTGACTGCTAAATCCAAACCAACAAACTCAAAGGCAGGAAACAGCCACATACAGAACTGCCCCTTCTGGTGGTGGCTCGATGGAAAAGCAGATTCAGTTGATGCTAGTGAAACTGCACCCTAAGTCCATCGCATCTGTGTGGTCATCATCTCATTTCTGTACATCTGTTTCTCAATAAACCGTTCTAACTCTTTTTACTAATTTTGTATATAGGTAGTATTAGCTTTTACCTTAATTTGGCTTGAATTACGCCAGTTATCTTCCTGACATAGGATAGAGCTTTTCTAGAAGTGTGTTATTGTTAAAATCAAGATACTGAGATGCCGACATCCTTTAGCTGCCCAGAATATTGACCCTGAGTATCCCTCCAGAGGAAAGCAAGGAACCTTATTTTCAGGGCCAGTTTAGGAGCTATTAGTGCAGGAAACTATGCAGGAAATGCATCTTCTGGTGGAAAAAAAAGTAAGCAGAAAATCTCTGCATTGTAAAATAGGGCAGATAGATCAGACTTGGGCACCTGCAGATCTTAATGGTAGTTTGTCACATCATGCAACTGTGCTATTTTTACTGGAGATGTGCAGACACAAAAATAATATCTTATAAATAAAACTCTAAACACACCAATTCACTGTCCTTGAAATGGGTTGAGTCCCCAATCCTTACAATAGTGAAAAGGCAGAGTATCTGTCCATTTTACTGTAAGATATAATTTCATGCTGAAATTTCACTATTCAAATAATCACAGGAATTAGCACATCTCAGAGATCACATATTCAGTCAGCTTTTGCAATCAGTACTCATATCTATATACATACATATGTGTGATCATAGATACCGCAGTGGCGTTCCTCATGTCCTTGTTGTAATTTTGGGGTAGTTCATTCAGGGTTTGAAAGAAAGAAACTGTCAGACAATGATTTACAAAGGAGCATAAAGAGATGATTCAGAGCAGAGATGAGAAAAACAAATTAAAAAATAGAAATTTTTAAAAGTAACTATAAAAACCTTACTCAATATCATGAAAAGCATGACCCTGGCACAATTTAGCATACACGAGACTGGTAGCCACTGTCACTTTTCCTTATCCTGTTTGACTGACTGGGAACAAGATCAGACAGGCGATACATGCCCAATTGCTGTGTTCACAATGCAGCTCCCATAGCTGCTACCACCAAAACCCCATAGATTACATAGTAGAAACATGAAATTTTACCCCACCCTCAATAAAGAGAAGGAACATGAAACCTATATAATTTTATACATAAAGTTGTATAATCATAACTCTGGTACTCTACACTCTCTCTCCCTCTGGTTCCCCAAACAATGAGTACAATTGAGCTTTCGGTACTAAAACATCTGTTGTCTTAAAACCACATTGTAGTTGTTAATTGCAATTAAAGAAGCTGAGCCTTATCACCGTCAGTTGCTTACCTAATGAGCTGTAATCTTTTTTTCTTATGGGCTTAGTGGGATGCTGTTCTTAAATTTACAGCTAGGAATACAGAGCGCTCAGAGCCAAACAGAAAGCAAATGTAGAATTAAAACTGAAAAAGATTTAAGAAACTTTCTGAAAAAGTTATTTTCCTAACTACCTTCTCTTAAATGAAAAATTCTGAACGTACAGCTGCACTCAGGCTATAATTATAGGAAATCCAGTGTTGATACTGCAAGCAGATATGTCATCAATTCCCTTTAAAAATGACTGAGTTATGTTTTTAAAGAAATTGCATTTTGTGCTTCTATGCTTATTGCTGTATTGGTTAAAAACCTTATCCTGATTTCCAGCATATGTCACTTCTACTCACTTCATATGCTGAGAATGTCCTCAAAGATAAACAGTTCTTTTCTCTCTCATTAAAGTTTACTCTACTGACATATTTACAGCAAGCAACCATATGCTTCCTCAATCTTTATTTTTATAGGATCAGCAAGTCAGCTTTTTCTGTACGACAGGTTCACGTTTTTGCATCTGTCATACTTTGAAGAATGCCTTTCTGAGAAGTTTTCCTGCATTGCCGCCTTCTAACACACTGCACTGAAACTGCACCACTGAATACAGTACTGAATTTAGCAATGTCAAGTTAGGCTTCTTTTCCAGTTACTAAATTCCTGCTACCCAGTAGGTTTTAGCTCCCATAGCCTCCTTCATCATCCTCATTAAAACCTGAGGCAGAGCTCTTACTTAATTTTGGGGCCATATCAAATTGTTTTAATTTCTACCAGATCCTTAGTACTTAGTAGTCGGTTTTCATTTTTTCTTAAAATAGCCTAAGAACATTTAGATACTTATTACATACTTTTTGCGGGATTTCTGCCTTTCTTGAACTTCAAAATATAGCTTCAAATATCAATATAACTTGGCATTTTCAGGCCTCACACTATAGTCTATATCCCTAAGATCCTTATCACATTGAATTTCACTACTGTACTCCAATATACTCTATTAACTTTATTAAAAAATATACTTTGAAATTGAAAGCCACAGATAGAGTGTTAGTTCTGTCGATCATTACATTAAGCCTAAAATGAATCAATACTCTCAGGGTATGGTTCTTTTCTCTGACCAATTCTCTCATGGATTCCTTACTGTTTTCCAAACTAACCTAACACCATGTCTTGTTAGTTTGGTCACAGTGAAGTGAAGCAGTGATGTGGACAATTACACTGGGATATAACTCAATCATACAATATTCTTAATAATTGTTCTCAATTTTTTTATCTGGGTAGTTGCAACAGTTTAAACTTCTTGTAATGTTGCAGAGCAATCTGTAAGCATATTTCCAGCATTATCCCGAAAGAACAATTACTATTCCCTCCCAGAGTAACTTCCATCTGAAATACTGCTTTTGTGTTAGTAGTACATCATGAAATACTTGACCATTTTGCTAATACTTTGTGTTTCTTAGCAGTTTACCATAACATTACTAAACACCACCAACCACCACCTTTGATTCTAGCTTTCTTGAAGAACAACATGAAAGATACCTGTTCTTATACCTTCCAGCATCAGTCATAACCAATTGTAACTTCTGTTTCTTAAATAACCTCTAACAAAAGCGTTACCTACACAAATACAGATATTGAGTGAGTAACATAAAACTATTTTCATGCATAGAAGCACAAAATTCTGTTGCATGAAAATAATTTTTTTTTGCACGTAGAGTGTACAAATGCGGAGAACAGCAGCTACTCCCCCTTTAATCACACACTTCTGTCTTGCTAAGTACTCACTACTTAAAATTGAAATAAACTGTTAATTCTTCTCATAACGCACCTTTAGGGTCAGCCTCACAACATTACACTCCTGCAGAGGGTTCAGTTTCAGCGTTTCTCCCAAGTTACTGCAGCCTGATGTTTGATGCTGCATCTCACAGCAAACACAGACGCCATCACTGTCAAATTTAATCTGTGGAGGAAAAAAAAAAGGTCAGAGAAAGTATAAATCAACATAAATACATTTCCCAGAAATTATATTTACACTTATTGTGACAGTAATGACTACTAAATGCAAAATGAAAATCTCTATGCAGAATCCCCTGAAGCAGATTCCTTCCATTGGCTAATATAAGCTATAAAACCTGGTAAAATACAGAAAGAGGATACAACACCAAAGAAGAGTGTTACTTTTTATGACTCTCTTGGAAAAAATTTTGCATTACAGGGGTAGAGGAAACTAGAGTAACTCAACCAAAACCGCATCAAATCATATTAAATGGGGAAAGACAAAAACAATAATAGAAAAAAAACCAGAACACACATGAAGCAGTCATGATCACAAGTGTAACTTACCCTTACATGTACATGGAAAAATAATTACAAAAGAAACTATGACGTATACTTGAGACGAGAACATAGCATGAAGAAAAAGCAGAGGAAGTAAGAGGTAGATGTCATCTCATATTTTTACTTTGGAAAAGGTTTGCTTTCTATTTTTCTATGTTCAGTTTGTCTTGACTACAGTAAGCATTCAACGTTTTTACATTTTAAAAAACATTATGCATTCTATTCTTCAAAGACTTGCAGTAAAGCATGCCTTGCTGAGAAGACTGAACCTTGATCATTCTCAAAACGTAAAGATATCTGTAAGTGATTCTAAAATAATCCCATTCAGCTCAATGAAAATGTTCATTATACTGATTTTGACTTCCTCATTAAAAAACATAAAAAACCCAAACAAAAAAAAAATCTCCAAACTAAAAACCACAGCAATGTTTATTCTTCTGCTTCCATCCAACAAAGATTTTTTTTTTTTAGCCAAAATTTAACTCCCTAGATGTTTTTACCTAGCCTGTTAATATGAACTGTCATTGCTTTAAATTTTCTCAATGGGATATTTATATGATTTCCAGAAAAAAAAAATCCTAATGCAAATATGTATTTACTTTTTTTAATTCAAATTATCTCTAGCATGTTGTACACTTCCTGAGCAGAGATAGCCACATTCCTCATAGAATTACCTCACAAAGCCTTACACATAGAATCATTTCAACAGAATATTTTCTTACTGCTTAAGACCTTGAAGTATGTTTAAATTGTTCATATAATCTTCATAGCTACATATTTAAATATATGTATTTTTTAGTGTCACCCCTATCAGGCTTATCTTGTACTCTCTGCTTACGTGCTGGTGACCAGAAGAGCAGTTGCAAAAGCAGAGAGTCCATTAAAAAAACATAATAAACTTTATAAGATGAGATAGAGATGAATGAAAGCTTGCCATATACAGTGATGAAGGCAAGCTCAGGGCAGGATGATATCTCAGTGGGCTTCAATTCCCGAGACTCCAGATTGCCCTCTAGCCCGTATAATTTGCAAAAAGGCTTTAAAAAAATCTGTGTATGTAAATTATACCATTTCCCATATACTCAAAGGCAGCACTGGAAAGAACGGTCTATAGCAACTCACAAAGGCTGGTTGTACGCTAAGCCATAGACACTGTAAAAGAAATAAAGCAAAAAAGAAAAATAGTTTGAGCACCTTTATAATAGTCATCTTGTTTACTTCTAATTAGCATACAATTTCACTCACAAAGCTGTTTTAACAATTTCAGACAGTGGGGTTTTTTTTCAATTCTTGTCATTTAATACTCTCTTTTAAGAGGTGAAAGATCTGAGCAAAACCCAAAGACACAGCTTATGATAACCTCAGATCTCCAAATCAATGGAAAATACAAAGCACTGCATGCCACTGGGGAGGTCTTGCTCCCAAACCTCTCTGGGAATGTCACAAATGGTGTCAACTGTTAGATAAACGCTACAGAGGAAGTTCAAAACTTACACTTTGAATTTAGAGCTGTGTCCAATTCAGTGGCTAGAATGTTACTGCACACTTGCTATACCAGCACACAGCAAATCAATATAGTCTTGAGCTCCTAGAAAGTTTTTATAATGAGAAAAATGGACTTCAGACAAAGCTATCTATGTCAAGATCATCTGTTCTCTGATTCATGCTGCTCTGTTCAGTGAAAGATTGTCACTGACTCACGATGGGATGTATTTGACATTTCTAATACAAAATACAGACCCCAAGTCTACTTTTAACTCATGTAATGAACAGGTGACACAGAAATAAGGCTGAAAAGATAAATACTTTCTTGGTCAAGATTCCCCATCTATAAGAGATTCTCAATTCATTCTGAAAGATGTTCCATAACTTCACACTGCCCAGGAACTCTCCCTTTAATTCAATTCTTTAAAATAGTTAAAAGAGAATTGCTTACATTAAAGTTCCTGCAAAACATAAAGACATCTTCAAAATCATAGCATATCCAAAATCACCTAAGACTTGCAACCAGACTGCAAAACAAAACGTACATTTGTTGAGAGCTTTTAACAGTTTTCCCTCTTGTCCACCTTTTCCTTCAAATGTTTGTGAAGTGAGATCTTTGCTCACTTGTGTGTCTGTAATGGGGAGCGGTGCAAACAGCCACGCATGTCATCACATCTCTGCTCGCACCAGTGCGGCAGCTGAAAGCAGTTTTGAGCCCTCATTCTCCAGAGTGCTCCTCACTGCCCTACTGTTGCCCACACTTGTGCACACAGGGTCAAGAATTCACACAGCTATCCTGTGACCTAAACATTGCCCAAACTAACTTTTCTTTTCTCGTGTGGGAGTGGTTTGTTTTTAGTCCAGATCAGACCTCAAATGCCATTCAGCGTGTGGCTTCATAAATGCAGGCAGCAGCACAAACAATAGAGTGACAGTGGTGCAGGGAGGAGCTGGGATTATCCCGTCCAGCTGCAGGGCTGCTGTTTCCAGTCTCAGGCACAACTACATCAAAACTGTGCTCCATCTCCATACTCTGCTGTGTTTAAATCTCTTTCTGGTTGGCAGAGCTCAAGAATAAAGCATCATTCACTTCACCCCCTGGACATACTCTCTACGCCATCCTGTATATATTTGCATTACACTTTGTGATTCTCACTCATGCTAGTAAGTGCAGTCAGCAATCACAGTATAGTTTGTATACTTTCATATTTATGACAGTTGCACAGTACACCCTCATCTAACCTATATTTAAGATTTCAAACATCAGCCTAAGCTGCCTATATGCATAAATTGTCTTTTAAGTTTATTTTGTCTTCCCCAAAAGCAGTACTGTTACTTCAAAAGTGATAAAAGTGATTAAAAAAATCACTAAAATACGACTTTCATGTAGCAAATTGTCAAATAAGTAAAGGAACCTCCAACAGCAAAGAACAGAGAGAGCTTCAGACTTATTAAAAATACATACATGCACACACACAAAGCCCCCTATGTTACAATATAAGTAACAAAAATGTGCACAGACCAGACTTTTTTCATCTGTATCAATTAATCAAATTCTGCCTAGGTTTTAAAGGTGTCTTACCAAAGAAGAAATTACTGCCGAGTACACACACATTCTCACCAAAAAGGATAAGTTAGGGATGAAGCGACAGTGTTACTTTGCATCCTATTCTACCTTTTCCCCATTAAAAACGTAAAACATCTAGTGAAAGTAGTAATAGATTTTAATTTTTCTTTTAAATCAACCGTCAGGGGTTTTTATAGGGAATGTAAAAACAGCAGGACAAAACTTCAAAACAAAATATGAAAGTTCAAAAGTTGAAAACAAGGCAGCGAAGTGCAAGAAGGCCTCACATGTATGGGAGGGAACTTTAGTCCATTATAGCAGCTTATGCAAAGAGAAAGAGCAGGAGAATCCAAGTAAAGAATTAAGTTGAGTGGTAGGGAAATATCAAGAGAAAAAAATGACAAGTGAATAAGAACAAAACAAGTACATATATTTTCCTGGAATTTTAAAAATTGATTTTGAATGTGCACATAATTGAATGTAGCTACAGCACAAAGTGGAATACAAAGAAGCCTCAGCTCTGGAACTGGGCTATGCCATTCACCTCTACGCGAAGCTGCACTTGCTTTGCTTTGACTATTCCAGCAAAACATAATACAGGGAAAAAGGGGTCTTCCTTTATATGTTACTATAACCACAGGCCAATTTCAGTCATACAACTGAAAAATAAATTATAAGCAATCTTTCTATACAGAGACAGACACTATTGCTACTTCTCTGAATAATAAGCAACTGTAAATTTGATTAAAACTAGAACATTTATTTTAAAATTACTGGGTGACTTACGATAAGATAGGTACATCCAGTAAAGACAAAGAAAGACTAAGAAATAAAACATCACTAACAAAATTCTATCTTGTAATAGAATTTAAATTAAAATACAGTAATTTCTCTACCCACATATGTTAAGCACCATTTTCAGAGATTAATTTCTTGAAAAAGAAATGTCTATGACAAAAATGTTGTTTCTCATACACATATTAATGAACAGCTTGAGTGTGTAACTGCTCTGTACACATCCTACTCTTACCGACTTAAAACAGTATCTTGAGGTTTTGGCTGCAGGATCTACAGCTAATCATGGGGAAAAAAATCCAATTAAATTTTCATAACAAGCCATTAAAGCTACTGGCATTTTTTTTTGTTCCTCAGTGTTGTATGTTGCTAAGCTGCAGGATAAGGAGCAAAACCACCAAATTGACAAATTACACATTCAAAATGCTAACATATGGTGAGCACATTTTACATACTCACACAAATATATTTATTATGCAATCTACAATAAATCCCCAGTGTTTAAAGGAAAATAAGACCCTCATCTCATTCTTCTTCTTCAAACAACTACTCTACATATGAAATGCTTCTGAATTTAAACTCCACAACATAGTAGATACTGTTATGACTTTTAAAGCATGAGTAAGTTAGACAGAAATACTGCAAGTAAAAAAGTTTACTTTCAATTTGACTTTTGAACTGTACTGTGTTTGCAAATTTACTAGTACACTTTTGACTGGTATAGTTACATTAGATATTAACTACATCTCAAACCGCATTTCTACAAAAGCTGCATTTTGACTTTTAGAGCTGCATCACTGTAAAGTAAATCTGTATCCTGCAAGGCGACCAAAAGATTTAGAGCTCTCTGATAATGTACACCCGGTCACATAGTGCAGGACCGCACAGATCTACAACTGAAGTGAGCTATCTAAGGAACTAACATGAAATATAAGCTTAGAACAAGCTGTTAGGAAACTGGTATTTTTCCTTTTTGAGTGAAAACCAGTAATAAAATAATTGAATATGTTCAACATAACACACTACCAAAATTCTGAGTCAAATAAAGCAGTACTGTTCACTACAATGCATCTCTCCCAGTGGGTGGTCTACAAGAACAGAACTCGAACTCCACACATATAAGCACTTCAACATGGTAATACAATGTATTCACGTGCAAATCCCCAACCTGACTGAAATGTGATTTTGAGCAAGGAAACTCTAAAAAGCAAGGTCTGGGCAGAAGAAATTCTTTTTTTTGAACAGTTATGTTACAATGAACAGTCACAGTGAAATTAAACTGCCCTCATCTAGTACAACACACTGTGGCAAAGCTACTTAGTATTTCACCACGCTCTGAAAATTGAAACTAGCAGTTTGAACATTTGGTTTATCTTCTTTTGCCAGCTCAGCATTGCACTCGTTGAGAGGAAAATTTGCACATTCCATCTGCATCAGGAATGAAAAGCTGGGGGGAATACAAGTGAAATGTAACTGTTGCCTTTTAATTTACTAGCCAAATACACTGGCTTTAGAAAAAATGCAAAACACTATTTGCAAGACTCTTGCTTAAGTGACAACCTTCTTAACCTGGAGAAACAAGCAAAGGTTTCCTTTGAATTCTGCCGCAAGAGAACAGATGGAGAAAGCACCTCCCACAAGGTCCCACATGGCCACCCACCAAACCTCTTACCCCCAAAACGCTAACCCAAGGACAAAACCTGCTTCTACCTGCAAACCCTCTGCCTGCATGCTGAAGGCACTTCTTTGATACCATGCCCTTCCCTTGATGGCGATTAGAACAAGACTAGAGAAGGCAAGATAAAGGAGGGAAGAGGAGGGGGAAATATACAGGTAAAGAACCTAAGGCTACTTTAAAGTTCAGATCAAATGTGGTCCCATGAAAATCACCGAATCAAGGATATTTTGAAACGTTAAATTTCCAATACACCCCAAACAACTGAAACACAATTTTTTCAAATAGCTGGAGAAAGAAAAAAAAAATCCAAAACAAATTTATTCCTTTTAATTTTCATCAATAATCAGAGAATTCAACTGCACAGCTCAGTCACTGCTGCTTACTTCTGCAGCAGTAGTTTTCCTATTAAAGGTGGCGATTCTGATCAAAACTGAAGAGGAGACGTGGTTCATAACCACAGAAGAGGTCACTGAAGAAAACATGTAAAAGACTTTCTGTGGACTTGTCTTTTTCTTGGTAGTGAACATCTAAGCACTGGCTGGAGCCAATGCTTTCTTTGTCTGTGAATGTGCTAATCAAGCAGAACTTTGCTTATTTCAACTTTCTGTCCCCACAATGCCACTTTGTTGATTCTCATTAACTTCATTTTCTTCCTTTTGTCCTACACCTCTAATATAGCTTGTATTAGGAGAAATTAAAATGCTCCCTTTCTTTCATCTAAGTCCTTCTGCTTGGTGCAAAGGCCGATAAGGAATCCTAACACAGATACATTATCACAATACATCCTAGAACAGAGATCACGTATGGCTAGGCGGTATTATTAAACGATAAATCCTGTCAGCACGTTTAAAAGGCTCTAACAAGCACATACAGAATCAGAGTTATCAGTAGTCTGAGTAAGCAACTGAATTGGAGGCGTAGGGATTTTTCAGTGGGCTTTGCTGAGTAGCTCTGTTTGGTCACGGCTGCCTCAAAGGATCTAGAAAAGCAGACATACACACGCAGCAAAACCCATGCATGCGCAAAGCCATGACAGCATCAATGGCACTGTTCTTGCTACGTGCATGCCTCTCCATCTGGGACAGGATTTGCTATTTAAATTCTATTCCCACAGCTTACTGGACACCTGTGAAAACTGTCAGTAATGACACTGGTTACTACTGAGTGAGAGGAAAAAGACAGCACACACAAGTACAAATGGCTCCCCTCAGACAGATATACATACAGACACATTTTTTTCATTTATTACCATAGTCAGTTAAATGTCAAACCAGTAACTAGTTAAGAACACGTTGGTTCTGAAATAATTTATGTATCAAACAGTACAGAAATTGTAGGTGATTTTGCCAACAAATCAAACAATGACCTGTTTAGCAACGAAGAGGTAAATTCATGTTTCCAAAATTCCGACGTTCCTTCCTTTTTTTCTTTAGGGTTTTGATACTATCCTACCTGAGAGATGTGGCTAGATGGCAGTGCTTGAGAATATGGAACATGAAGTATAACCAGCAGACTAGCAGAGCATGATGTCTGGACACAAGCCTAAGCTATTCATTACAGTGACACTACAGGTCAAAACACCGTGTTTGAAAATTATAGCAGATAGGTCACATAATACAGTTATATAGTTGCATTAGCTAGTTAAGAAAGCATTCATTTTGAGAGACAGTTTATTCTTTCTTCCATGCAGATACGAAGCCATTTTTGTAAGTCTTCATGGGAAGTTCTGGTATACATGCAGTCCTTTAAAGTAACTTCTAAATAGTCCCAATATCAAAGTAAGGATCTTAAAACAAATTAGTAAGACTCACTTCAAAGATCTTCTACAAAAAATACCTACGATACTTCTTTTTTTCATGAAAAAAAAAAAACAAACCCACAACAAACCCCCTATTTTCCCATAAAACTCCAACGTACATCTTACAACAGCTCCAGGTTCCACCAGTTGATTTTTCCAACTCTGCAGCACAACCCCAACTCCCCATCAAAATGAGAGCCAGGAATTTTATCAAGAGTTTCCCAGACCAAATATTTGATAGGTAAAACCCTCCCTTCCTCTCTTCGGGCCACTGTAGTTTTCCACTGAGTCATCTACCTGGCTCCATCCATCCGGCTCTATAAAGCCTTTACCCCAATCAAACCTGGAGTTGGCAAACACTAGAAAGCTGAGCAGAATCCCCAGCTGATGGAGCTGCAGCCGCACCCCTCCCAAATGGAACAGGTGACAGGAAAACAGAACGCAGGCTTCAAAGCTGACTAAACAAGGTGAAGGCATATGACAGGTCACACCCAAACGGTTTCCTGTTCTATACTTTTCATGTGCCTTTCAAAAGATTCATCGAAACTTTTTATATTATTTTAACTCAGTTTTATTAAATATATCATATGGGAATGGAAGCCTGAAGGGTTTTAAGGGACAAAATCCCTAGGAACAAAGGAGGAAAACAATGGCTGGATAGAAGAGGTGCACAAGCATTTTGTGGAGTCATCTGTTGGCATTAGAGAGGAAAATGCCTTTTCTCTTTATCATTCAAATGATACGCCTTGGGGTGCGTGTGTGCACATATTCCTACTACTTAATGAATCCTTTGATTCATAAATTCATACAGTTTAAACAGTTTGATTGGTCTACTGACAGCCAGATTATACTAAAAAGAGCACTGATGCGTATCCATAAATATTCTCCAGCCCATTTGTCAATCTTGCAGTTCAATGTCATTTGTTTCCTGAATTAGAGGTGTGTGTTCATTGTTTTATTCTTCACTTTAAATCAGAGATTTCAGACATGAGTTTAGTTCTGTAGACATCTTCTTAAGTTTAAGCCAGAAAATATGTTAAGAGTTCAACGTACGTGTACTTTTTTCCTGAGATAAAAACACAAAGAATTTAGGTATACTGTACCTTTTAATAGTTTGGAGCATGCCACATCATGACAATTTTTATTTTTCCATATATTGTGTATTTTATTTAACATAAGTAACATACATAACTAATTTAGGATGGCAAATAAAGTATTAACATACACACACCAAATCAGTACATCTGTGAAATACACTAGCTGTATAAGGAACAACTGGACGAAATCCTGATAGTGCTGACATCAAATGCTAATCACTGCATTGCTTTGATGTGGCCTGTGTTCCACCATTTCGGTTTAAGTGTCATTTGCACCATGACACCAAGAAGCAAGTCTTTCTAATATTACAACTTACTTTTTGAGGTGACAGAACACTGTAAACACATTAGCACTTTAACTCTCAAGCTTTTCCCAATGTGATTTTTCATGTTAGAAGGCCTATAGATGGCTCTACTAAACATGTACTGTTTTGAAAATTAAAGGAGTATGTGTATAAAACCCAAACAAATGAAAAATAAAACCCATTGCTCTTTATAAAAGACTTGTTTTTCATTACTCACCAACTGACATCCTTCCAGGGACTTTACCAGCTGAGCGTTCTGACAAGAGAGAATGGAACCAGCCAAGTTCAGCATTACACACACTGCAGACAGCAGCATGAAAAAGGTTATCTGGAAAAAAACCAAACAACTTATTATTATTCACTGCAAGAGGCAAACAAGAAAAAAATATCATTTAGATGTTCAAGAACTTCCAGCCTGTCATACAATTACATAGATGGCAACATTTTGTACATTTTAAAAGAGAAAGTAGAGTATTCTTTAATTTGACAACATCCTCGGTCTCACACTATAAGAGAAAGCTAAATCAAAACTAGACTTGACTATCACCTATTTTCCTCAGCCATTTCAAAATCATGCATTTATCTCCCACTTTCATCACACACTCTTAGTAGTCTTGAAACAATTTAAATCCCTTTTGATGAGGATATGGTTATCTTAAAGAGGAAAAGTATTTGTGAATATCATGTATCAAGAGTTTGTACAAGTTAGGGAAAAAAAGGTGAATAAAATTCTGGATACGTATAACCACTTGGTTTTTAAATAACACTTACAATTTAAGCAGCATCCTCCATATCAACTACCCACTGCGTTAATTACTCCTTTTGCCTCTTCTCAAAATATGTCAAAACAATCGTTAACTTGATTGCATCAGTTTAACTATCATTTTATTGCTTTAAACGTAAAAAAAACCTGGCCCAGTGTGGGCAGACAGAAATCTCAACGTCTACGGAAACAGAAAGGCACAAGCAGTAAGAGGCCAAGAATAACCCTGTGCTCAATATGTGGCCACCTTAAATATTGCGTTCACGTTGCCATGGGACACATACTCCCATTGAGTTACGTGAAATTAGTAAGAAACTCTGTTGCATCTTTTTTCCATATGTATGCCCGTAGTTTACAATCTTTCCAGTCATTGTTCTCACAAGGTGTTCAATTCCATCAATGCATATGCTACAAATATTTTTGGCAACCTTAAAACCAAAATGGTTGGACCTTTTTTAGTGTTTTTCAAATGAAAAACAAGAATTTGAACAATTTGTCTCTTCACTAACCTAAGCCTTTCTTGAGAAATACCCAATTGATGCATCTTAGGGTTAAATTATATCTCCATTGCATATTTTGAGAGAAAACAAGATTTCAACTGTTTTTTACACTCCTATATTATGTGGAGGCATAAAAACATCAATTACTGCATTAACAGGCATAAAAAAATACGTTTAGTGTGCTTAATGTTTTTATCACAAATCAGTCTTTTCTAATATTGGCACAAGTACAGCAGTAAAGATAAACCTATCTGCAACCCTTTGAAGGAGCGGTCATTGTGGATCATGATGGAGAGCCAACACTGCACTATGAAACACTGTAGATGAAGTTAGATATACATCATTCATGAAATTAAGTATGCCTAACTTCCACATTAAAAGTTTCCTCAGAAAGTGAGTTCCTGAATGTTTGCTCTGAGAGCTCAGCGTGACGTATTTCCAGGAGCAGTACGAAACTGTCGGGA